AAGGCTGGTGGCCCAGGCACAGCATGTTTAGGTGCCAAGGCTGGTGGTTTGGGTGTCACAGGGGGCACAAACAGTCCGGGTTTGACAGCTTCTCTTATAGACTGTAACTCTCCCACCTTTATCAGTTTGGGTTTATTGGCTGGGATTGGAGGGGGCTCAGCCAGAGGTGATCCTTGAAGTGATCCTCGAGGAGAGAGGTGGATAGATTTTAACTTGTCGCAGCTTTTAGAGGTATTCACAAGATGGCTGACAGACACGACCTCTGGAGAAGCTGGTTTTCTGAAGCTGGGGATAGGAGGTAGATTTCCCAGGGGTGGATCGCTCTGTCTCCTGCTGGGAGAGGACACTTTCAGATTAGGCTCTGGCCTCCAAGAAGAGATCACTTCTCTTTTCAGGTCCTCAGGATTGATTTCTGGCAGGCCTCTTTTGGGAGGTGGGGGAGGATGGACAGGTGTGGAGCACTTGCTGGAAAAGGAGTGTGACCGCTGTGATTCTGAGTAGGCTGGTTTTCTTGGAGTGGGGATCGGAGGCGGGGGATAAGTTGGTGGGTGAATCATGATATCTGCAAAGGAAAAAGCAAACACCCTTTCAAAGAATGTAACTGCCTGGTTTATTCAAGGTGCTACAGTAAAAAGGGCACTGCAAGGATCTAAGGCATCTCCAAAGGTCTCATGATGGAAAATGCTATCCACATCCAAAGAAAGAATTATGGAGTTTGAATGCAGATTGAAGCATACTATTTGCTTTCTTTCCCCCTTTGGTTTTGTTTTGTTTCCTCTTTCTTGTGGTTCCTCCTATTGGTTCTAATTCTTCTTTACAACATGACTAATGTGAAAATATGTTTAATAGGAATGTATATGTAGAGCCTATATTAGATTGTGCGCTGTCTTGGGGAGGGAGGGGGAGAAAAATTTTAAAATGTAAAAGCTTAAGGAAGTGATTGTTGATAAACCAAAATAAATTAATAAAAAAATTTTAAAAAAAAGGACACTGGATTAGGAGTCGGAAGACTTGCTTTGAATCTCAGCACTGCCATGTACTACCTCTATGACGTACAAGGTCCTTTCCAAAGTGAAATCTATGATTCTATAAACTCAACAAATTTAGATCCCTCTCTATTCTAATGGGGCTTAGAGTCTAGTGCAGTGTCTAAGGCACATGTATAAGTATGATATGCAACAATATATAAGTACAATCTGAGAAGGAACAGATATAAGCTGGGGACAACATAACAGGGAAGGCTTCCCAGAGAAGGTGGCATTTGAATTGGGCTTTAGTTTAGAGGATGGGTAGGGATTCAAAAAGTGAAAGAGCAAGGGGAGACATTTCAGGCATAAGTGACAGCATGAACAAAGATAGATGTGAGAGAGAGGACTGAATATATCTAGGGGATAGTTTAGCTGGAGGAACACAGACAGATATACACATATACATACATGTGTATGAATCTGTATCTATATCTAAAGTAGCCTTAACTTGGCAGGTTTGAATGCTAATAATAATGATGATGATGATGATAGTTAATATTTATATAGCACTACAAGGTTTGCAAAGTGCTTTATCTTACTGATCCCTAACAATCCTGTGAGGTAAGTGCTATTATTATCCCCATTTTACAGATGAGAAAACTGAGACTGAGGTTAAAGGACCTGCTCAGGGTCACACAGCTAGTAAATGAGTAAGGTGGGATTTGAATTCAGGTCTTCCTGACTCCAAGTCCAGCACTCTATACACTGCACCACACCTCTGTGCTTCAACTGACCAACTGCCCATTCATTAGGGCAGGTCTGACCTCAAATGTGCCTTATGAATTCTCACATCCAATCCTTTAAAATCCCATCATTACCCCTCATCCTCTCCAGTCTGGAATTTCCTCCCTCGTTCTCTTCTCTCTACCTTAATTCTACCCATTCTTCAAGGCCTGGCTCAAATCTCTCCTCCAAAAGAAGTTTTCTTTGACCACACGTGTTTTCGTCACTCACTCTCTCCTCTGAACGCCTTCTCCAGATTTCCGTCACTCACTCAGTACTTATTCTATATTGCTGTGTACAGCTGGCAATCTCTGGCTGGATGTTAGTTTCGTCTCTCTAACTAGACTGTAAGCTCCTTGAGGTCAAGGGCTATGTCTCATCATTCTCTGAACCCTTCTCAGCACCTAGTACAGTACTTTTCGTGTCCAATAAATACTTTCTGATTGAGTGGCCACAAGAGGTCTGAGCCCAGGTCCAAAGTTCCTCTGGAGAGAGATATCCATCCTTCTTATGTCTTCTGCATAGGGTCAGACAAATGGTAGGAATTCTTCTTTAGGATTGTTTCTTGGTAGGTATGGGTTACTTGAACATACCACCTAAAAACCTCAGGTTCCCTGAGGTGGATCGGAGGCGGGGGATAAGTTGGTGGGTGAATCTGAAGTTACCTGACTTGCACAGACAATGCTCTTGCCACATTTCTTTTCTGTCATTCACTCTAATATGACTCTGGTCTATGTTGGACCTAGGCTGTCATTAAAATGACATGCCTAACCTCACAACCTAGATTTGGCTAGGAGGATCAGATAATAAAGGGGAAATTAGGGCCTTGGCCAGAGGTAAAGGAGAATAATTCTGCACATCATTGGGTCAGAGGATTGAGAGCTAATGGGATGTTAGAGAATGTCTAAGTCCTTCATTTAATAGATGAGGAAAACAGGCTCTGAAGGGAGGAGTACCTTAGCAACGGTCACAGAGCTAGTTAGGCATGAGGACAAATCAAAAACCTTCTCCTGGAATGTCAAGAGATGGATGGACTTTTATGATTGCTTTATTGCTGGCTATTCCAGTGGCAGGAGTCTTTTACGCAAAAAGATGGCTGGGGATGGAGAGATGATGATGACCACAATGTATTTTTATGGACACATATTTATACGGACACATATTTCAGTGTACTTTTTCATTCATTAGGTATACATAACTTCGATGTAGCTGGAAGGATCCAACAGGGTTTGACAAACCCTAAGTGTACTACAAAGTGCATTTCTTTCTTCCTGCTCACATGTATTTACATTTTACTATCAGTGCATTGCAGATTACTTGGAAAGAAGTGGTCCACCTGAGGATGCCTCAGTCATCACCTACTTCACCCTGGGCTTAGGCCCTGCTTCCTTCAAGAAGAAGCCAGAATCATAAGATGATGGCTCCATACATAGGCTAGGAAAGCCCTGGCCAAATGCATTTAACTCCTTCTGAATCTTTCCAGGTAATCCCTCCAGACCAGGGCCTCTTAGCCTTTTTTGCATCATGGACTCCTTTGGCATGCCCATTTCTCAGAATCATGTGGTTAAATAATTGAAGGAAATATTACATTTCAGTTAGTTATCAGTGCAAATAAAGATGTAATTTTCCTATCCAAATTCATGGATTTCCTGAGATTTATCCATCGAAAGGCCATTTAGGGGGTCTAAGAACCCCTGCTTCATGCCCTTATGGAGTCTCAATGTAATCTTTTTTTTGTTGTTGTTGTTGGTTAGGCAATGGAGTTTAAGTGACTTGCCCAGGGTCACACAGCTAGTAAGTGTTATATGTCTGAGGTCAGATTTGAACTCAGGCCCTCCTGAATCCAGAGCCAGTGCTCTACGCACTGTGCCACCTAGCTGCCCCTCAATGTAATCTTAACCTGAGATTGTGAATCAACAGCCTGCAGCAACAAACTGCTTCCCTTCCCAATCTTTTTTTCCCTTAACTCCTTGAAAGCAACAAAATTCATCTGACTCTAGGAGCTGGTGGGTTAAAATCAATTTAAAACTGGACTAAACACCTCCAATGAATTATTGGGGATCTTTAGATCTACAGGTACATCAATTACATTTTTTTAAATTGAGTATTTACTAGTAGTGTGATGCTGTGGCAATCACTGAATATCTCTGAACATCATTTCCCCTCATCTGAAAAATAGGAACAATAGTCATTCTACTTGCCTCACAGGGCTGTTGTACAGAAAACACTTTGTAAATGTTTTATATTCACTTTTGCCAACTACAACGTGCTCAGTACCACTCCGGGGGTACATAAAGAGCATCCACTGTCTTTACCCTAAAGCCGAGATGCTTTACTTTGCTATGGGCTTGCCAGATTCACTGCTGAATCAGAGTAAAATGTAATTGATGATTTAAAACAAAATAAGTGCAAATACAATACAACAAATAATGTTAATTTGTGGTTTTCTAAGTCAGTATGCAACCCACAGGGATAATTCTATGTGAGTCTAACACCACTATCCTAAAGGACCTCACAAATCCAGTTGGTGACATGAAAATCATATACATAGAACACCCCAAGATAGCACATATTCAAGTGTTAACATTGTACCAAGCCACTTAGACTCACAGAGGTGGGGAGAAAGCTTACTGGACTTTAGAGATCCACTATCCCACCCTTCTTGGTTAACAGAGAAGAAACCTGAAGCCCAGAGAGGGGAGGGAACCTGTCTGCAGATAACAGGATAACAGCATCTTACAAGACATCTCACTATAATCCCTCGTTTTGTAGATGAACACACCAAGGCCCAAGGTCCCCGAACCTTGAATCTAGTACATTTTCTACTATGCCACAAGTTACACGCCATGCTAATGTTCTCACACACCCTGACCCTCTCCAACACTTTACATAATCCCTACTACAAGGTTCACAGGCATAATGGTCACTTAAGATGTTTAAGAAAAAGTCAGGTTCATACCTACCTTCAACTTTCACGGAGTCTGGGCTGTCTGGTTCCATGTAGGAGTCATCGTCATCATCATGTTCATAGTCTGTTTATATAAGCATGAAGGGAAGAAACATTTTTAAAAATTATTCAATACCAATTCTGTGCAAGGCCCCCATGGATGACACAAAGATAAGACAGACAATTCCTGCTGTCAAGAAACTCAAGAGTTTAGTAAAACAGCATGGATACAAATGGATAGAATACAAATTAGGACATGCTAATTGAATATAAGGGAAGTGTAAGGTACTATGAGATCAGATAGAGGAGAACTCACTTGCTAAGGCCCTAAGGCTCAGGGAAGATTCCCAAGAGAAGGACATATTTCAGCTGAGCCCTAAAAACACAAGGAGGACCTCACCAGGTAACAGTAGGCAGGTGATAAAAAGGCATTCTTGTCATAAAGAACAGCCTTAAGCAAAGGTGCAGAGGTGGGCAATCTTCATTTCTCTGAAGCAGAGAATAAGCTTTATCTAGGAGCAAACAACCTCATCCAGTCAATTCCTAGTAGGCCTGTTGGGCTTAAATCAAGGTTTTAAGTGGGAGTTCAGTTTTTAAAATGCTAGCTAAACAAAGTTTATGCACACATGCACACACGTGCACACACACACGGAAAAAAAAAAGACATGTATAGCAATTGGCCATTTCTTTTTCCTCTGTTGCTAGAGAACATAGGATCACTTTCTTTCATCAGGATACATACTTTCAGGGAAGGAGGTGACAGCCCAGAACTCTGAACTCAGGAAGATTTCAGGGTGTTTAGGAGACAGCATGTATGGTGAGAAAGGGGAAGGGAGTGAGAAACTCCACAGATTAAGACTTACCTTCATTGTCAGTGGGATATGGGGATAAATTGATATCGATGGGACGTTCCACAGAGCCATAGAAGCTATCTGTGTCAGAACTTGAGTCACTAAATAATAAATGCAGAAAAGAAAGACAAAAGATTTAACACACACCCATAAGCCAGTTTCCACCCCAAAGTAGTTTACAGGCCCAGACAAAGGGAAGTTTTGGACTGTGATATTCCAGCCACCTTGCATGCTATTTAGAGGAAAGAGCCTTGAATTAGAAGTCAAAAGATCTGGGTCCAAATCCTGACTCTGACCCTTACTAGCTTTATATGACTTTGGGCAAGTCAATTCATGCAACCACCAGCTTCCCCATCTGTAAAATGAAGGGGCTGAATTAAATGATCCTTAGCTTTAAACCCCATGACTGTTGTTCTGTGAATTAATTTACTAGCTGATATCTTTCATGTCACTGTTGTATTATATTCTTTTGTTTTGTTTTGTATTATATTCTTAATATATCACCCTATCCATGCTGTCACTCCCTTTCTCAGAAGCCTTTGATAGCTCCCCGTGGCTTAGCGAATAAAATCCAAACTGCTTAGTCTGGTATTCAAAACCCTTCAAAATTTGGTTCCCATATCTTGTCTACAGGCCCCTCTTGGACCACTTCTTTATGTGTCTTAGCCAAATGATATCACTTAATTTTGTACGATCACATCCCATGTTTTGTACCTTCTCCATATCAAGCTGTTGAAATCTATCTCATTGTTAAGGACCTAGTTTAAATGCCACCTCTTCCACAAAGACTCCTGGATCTTCCCAAGATGGAAATGATCTTTCTTCTCCTCAACACTTGAAGGATGTTGCTTATACTCCTACATCTGCCCCATATTATACTCTAATTGGTACGAGACTTATTTGTATCTCTGCTTCAGTTTCCCCCACTAGACTGGGAGACCTCTGAGGACAGGGGCTGTGCTATTTCTCACTCATGTCTGTTTCCCACAGAGCCCAGTACAGGATCTCACAAGTACTACTTTAATTCAACCCAACAAATATTTTTTAAACACTGCTACAAACAGTCCTTTTGGTTTTCAGCAAGGGATACAAAGTTGTCTTGGAAGAGCTTAGTATCTACTGCAGAGAATGTGATACATACGTGAATAAGTATGATTTGTTGTGCAGAATGTAGAAAAAGACTATTCCTGAAATGGATAGATCTCTCTAAAGACAAAGTATAATAGGGGCAAAAGGAGAGATTTTAAAAAGTATTCTCAGGAGGAGAGGTCATTTTTACTAGAGAGGAAATTAGAGGAGACTTCCTGCAGAAGGCAACAATTGACCTAATCCTTAAAGGAAGAGAAGGATCACCACAAGTGGAGATGAGGAGAGAAGTATTGCAGGCAAAGGAGATGGCCTATGTGAATGCACTGAGGCCAGGGCACAGAATAAAATGGGGGCAGAGTTAATCAACAGTCCATAGGATCATAGATTTGGAACTAGAAGGGCCCTTAAAGGCCACTGAAGATTCAACAACCTCAGTTTACAGATAAGGAAACTGAGGCTGCAACCGCTTTAGGTTAAGTGACTTGTCATGGGTCACATAGCTAGTCAGAATCAAGATTCAAACTCAGGTCTTTCTGAGTCCATTCAAGTCTCATACTGCAAAACCTAGTCTAGTTTATCTGGAACATGGAATGTGTGAAGGGAAATAATGTGAGATGAAGACAAAAAAGCAGGCTGGAGTCACACTGTGGGAGCATTAAATGCCAGGAAGAGAAGCCTGAATTTTCTTCTGCATGCAATGGGGAGCCTCTCAACGTGTGCTAAATCAACAAACATAAAGAGGGCAAAGCGGCTTTGCTTAGGAGCACTCTAAGAAGCTCCATTTTGGAAAGAATGTGACCTCCCCGCCCCAAAGAGTCACTGAACAGTTACATACCTGAAATCTAACGACGGCTCTTTCTTCTCATGGTAGTGGCCTATTTCTTTCCTTAGCAGGGCCATCCAACTCTGAAAGAAAGAGGAAAAAACCCCACTTGACCTTCTTGTTATAAACATGGATTCAATACTAAATACAGGCTGCAGGAGGAGCTGGGAAGTGGATTGTGCGGAGATGGCCGCTAGGTTGATTTTGCCTTCATAGGCTCACAGGGTACAGTGCTATAAAGGATGCTGGAGATTCTCTAGTTTAACTCTCTCCTTCTACAGATTGCAAGTTGTCTTCTGACCATTCTCATCTGAGCTACTACTTGAAAATCACCTTTCTTTCATCTTCAGAGGAGGCTGAAAAGAACCAGGTTCGGTGCTTCTTGCTGATATGAACAATCTTGAAGGGAAAGACGTTGTTTGATGTTGTTTCTTCAGCTGCTCGCATTACCCTAGGTAGGAGACAAATGGTACAATATCGAGAAAGCGTAGCAACATGATGGAGCGGAAAGAACTGTGGTCTGCACAGCAACAGACCCGAGTTCTAGTCCCAGCTCTGTCAATGACATGCTGTGTGTCTTTTGGTAAACTGTTTAATCTCTCTGAGGCAGGAATGATCCAGGCCTCTTTCTATTGTCCTAGAACAAAACGTTGCCAGATTCCCCTGGCCAGTAACAACTTGACACCTCAGACGGGAATCTCAGAAGTAGGAAGGCCCTCAGAGGCCATCTACTCCAACCTAAATCTGAATAGGAACTCTTTTTATAACATCCCCTACAAAGGATCACCTAACTCTTGCTTGCAGACCTCTGGCAATGGGTAATCGACTACTTTCTGAGCCCATTATGGTTTCTCTTTATATCAAGACAAAATATGTCTTTGTAACTTCAACCCAGTTCTGCATCCTGGGACTAAGCCCAGCCATTATAATGCTTCTACCCAACAGTTTTTTCACAGATACAATATTACATGATGGCTGTCTCCCAATATCATAATTATCAATGTTAGTGTTTTATCCCTGCAGCCAGGCTGAGCTCCATGAAAGCAGAGACAGTGTCTTACGAAGCTCAGTGACATTTAAGGGCCTCCTGGGTGCACAAATGACTTCAGTTTTTGCTAACAGCCTATATATTACGACAGGCAGTCTACCTCTCTGTTGCTTGTTCTTGCAAAGCCTCTGAAGGGAGAGGGCCAGTGTGGTCTCTCTACTGGGCTCAGCTACCTGGAGGTAGGTCTGAGCACTTCACAAGTTCAAATGACTCAACTCGCCTTCTCAAATAAGGTTGTCAACCAACCAGGATGTGGGGTTATTTAGAAGAAATGAGAAAGCCAAACAAGGACTGACTGGTATTATGACTTCAAGAGCTGGAAATGCTATCAGCCCTTTCACAAACCATTTAAGGGGCTTGTATATTTTAGCACCCACCAGACTCCTCTTACCTCTCTGTACTTATCACGCCCTGCTCTATACTTTAGATATCTCTATCCCTGTCTTATCTGTTCCCTCTCCCTTGCCCCTCTATGGACTCTTAAGTGCTCTAGAGCAGAGAATGTCTCCAGTTCACCATTCTACCCACTGCATGTTCTACAGGGCCTGGCCCATGGGTGCTCAGTATATGTTTAGTGAATGAATGTTTCATAGTAAGCCTCCAACATTCAAACAGTGCAACCTGAGCAAGTCACTTAAGCTCTCTGAGTGCTGGTAAAATGGCAAAAATGATAATAGTAACAATGAAATAATAGTTGACATTTATATAACATGTTAATGCTTGTGAAACACTTCAGGACAAGTGTGCATTCTAATGACCATCAGTTCTAGCCTTGGCTGGGCTATCAAGCCCCCTCCTGAGTATTAGGCAATTCTTTTGTCTGTAACTCAGGAATAATAATCCTTCTCCCATATACTCTCTCGTTGAGCTGAGGGGTTGGGGGGTACTGATTTCCAGAAAGGTGCTACATAAGCCAATAAAAGTAATAAAAGTAATCGACTAAAAACACATGGGAACAACTGAGTGGGAAGTGGTGTTGGACAGTCTTGTTAGATTTCATAGAAAACAGGGGTCAGGCCAAGAACGCCTTCCTACCCACAGGTACCAAGCCAACTCACCTATTGTAGCCACTCAGGGAGAAGGCCCCCTGGGGAGATGCTGATGTGCTACTCTTAAAGTAATAAATACATCTCTTGTGGATAATCACAAACCGCAATGGCCCTGGAGACAAAGAAAAGGAAAGTTTATTTTAATATGTCTTGCTGATTTAAAAAAAATTAATTTCCCCAAAACACCCTTTTCCCTTGTCTCCACATAACATTTCTATATTGTCGTAGGCCTGCAAAACACTTTACCCGGGATAGCTCATTTACTCCTCAAACTGTTCTTGGAGGTTGTACTAATGTATTATTTACCCTATTTTACAGATGAGGAAACTGAAGGTCAGAAAGATTGACTTGTTTGTTCATAGCAGCTAGTAAGAATAAGGAGTTAAGATTCACACCCTAGTCTGGTCTGATTCCTTGTTTAAACAAAGGGTCACAAGTCAACTGATAGCCATAAGCCAAGTGTTATCTATGGATTTCCGCAAAACAAAAACACCATTGTCACATACGTGTTCTTGTGCAGGCCATTCAAAACAAGCAATCCCAAAATAGAATAAGATTCCTTAAGTCCATTATATTCTGTAATTCTAGTAGAATTATAAGGATTCAGAGCCAGAAAGGGCATTAGAAATCATTTAGTACAATGCTCTCATTTTACAGAAGAGAAAACTGAGAGTTCTTTATGATAACAAAGATAATAAGGTGCAGAGTCAGGATTCAAACCCAGGTCCAGCCCTCCTCCTAGCCTTAGGGGGCAGCTTACTGAGAGGAAAACAACAGAGGATTTGGATACTCTGATTGATATTAATTCTTCTTTTTGGACAATTTTTCCAACACTGCATGATTAAGAGCATAAAATGTTTGAATGGGGTATCACAGTACTGTGGAATGGGCATTGGACGTACACTCCAAACACCCAAGCTTGAACCCTAGTTCCGCTATGTACTCTCTATGTGACACTGCAAATCACTTCAGATCTCTGAGCCTCAGTTTCCTCATCTGTAAAATGAGGTTAGACTAAATCACTTTGAAGATCTCTTCAAGCTCTAAATCTATGATCTGTCATATGGAAAAAGGAATTACATGTGCTCTGCCTGGTCCCAGAGAGCAGATCTAGGAATGAAAATTAAGTAAGAATCACAGAGACAGATCTAAGCTTACTATTACAAAACAAAAAGCAAAAAACAAAAAAAACCTCCCACAATTTCCTAACAGATGGAATGAGTTCCTCATCACTAGTGGTATTCAAGTGCAGGATGAAGACCACTTGTGAGGGAATGAACAAGATGGCTTCTGAAATTTTTTTCTAATTCAGGCTTTCCAACCTCCCCCTACCTTCTCATTGCATGCCGTTCTTTGCTATGTCTCTATAGAGGATGATATTAATAATAAATAATAGTGAGCATTTATAAAGCACTTTGAAGTTTGAAAAGCACTTTACATACATTATCTTATTTGATTCTCACAACAACCCTGTGAGGGAGGTGCTGTTATTATCTTTTTTTTTAAATTATCCTCATTTTTGCAAATAAAATTGAGCCTGAGTTTGTGATTCAACCAAGGTCACACAGCTAGTAAGAGTGGTCTTCCTGAGTCCAAGTACAACACTGTATGCACTATACCACACAGCTGCCTCAAGGATGAAGCAACCCTTTGGTTATGAGTCTTTGCACTTGACTAGGCAGGTCCTCAAACTGGGGGCATACTCCAGCAATGGACTAGACTCAAAGCTATCTTGCTGGTACAGCCTTTGAGAATGAAGTGTTTCTTCTGCACCAACATGAAGCATTAATGGAAGGAAATGCGCTGGGTTCCAATACCACCTCTTTGGGCCACGGCCCCTCTTCTGTAAAATAAGGGCACTGAAATACTCTTCTCAGATTCCTTCCAGCTCTAAATATACCAAGTGTAGAAGCAAAGTCTCAAAGCTTCTCTTTTTGGAAATATTAACAAAGTATTTTAAAAGAATCCTAGTTTGCAGCCTTTTTGACTATCTGAAATATGTCACTTGGGAAACAATGTCTTGTTCCCCTCTCTGGGACCAGCCCAGCAAGGACTTCTCCTCTCCCTTGATTTCAGGTGCTACCAGGACAAGGACTAGGGCAAGGGGCTCTTGACTGATTCACCTAAGAGGAGTAGCCTCTTTCCCAAGGCTGTGAAGGAGATAATGACCTATCTATGAAAAGGAAGACATGTCTTTGATGACTTCAAGTCACCTATAACCACACTGGGGTGTGTAGTGGGGGGGGGGCCTTTGTGGAAAGCAATCATAGAGGGACTGAGTGGTTTTAAGAAAATGACTCGCTGAGAACATACCCTCAAAGGTTAATTATTGCTTTGTTCTATGAAGCAATATTAATTTTTACCTGACCCTGAACTGTTTCACTGTGTTTTATCGTAATGGGAAATTTCCCTTGTTCAAAATTCCTGTAAATGTTACTTCAAAAATATGTGGTGCTGGAGAGATGTCTGATAGCGATAAGACTCTGCCAGTTTGGACATTTCTCCCACTAAGCTAGAAAAATGCTTGGATAAGAATAACAATAAATTAACTAAAATTGTTTCTGGCAGGTTTGTGCCTGCAAGGCAGACTACAGTATTAATGTTTCTTTTTTTCCTTCAATACAATAGACATTTTATGTTTATAAAGCACTTTCCATTTTTCAAAGTACTTTCACAAACATATTCTCATTTGACCCTCTTAAAGACTACCTTAAGGTAGGGAGAAGGGGTATTAGCACCAACATTTCAAGAAAAGGGATTTGAGATAGAGATGAGTGAGCTACCTAACATCCCACAGCTTAACAACAGTGGTTGAGTCTAAGCTAGAACACAAAGTTTCCCAACTGTGAGTCCCGGGCTCTCTTGGTTATGTTATGTCGTGTCGGGTCCTGAGTACCTTTAGACTATTCTGATGGTACTGAAGCCCACTGTGGGGAAGAGTGGACGGCCGGATGGGTAGGGGCTTCAGGAGACACAAAGGGAAAATAAGTGATAGGACTTACATTTTAGCAGCTGCAGCTGGGTGCCACCTTTTTTGTGAAGGTATCCAGACTTGACCACTCCCCCAGGCATCGTCAAGAGGTTCTGGGCTCCAATGGCCTTCATCGGCACAGGCCAATGCTGCTCCTCTGAAGCCATCAAGCTGAGAATAACGGAAAAGGATGAGCTGGGCTGGGGACTTGAACAATTACTTTGAGAAAAAAGCAAGAAGGAAAAAAAATCGAACGTACTTCTGGAAATAACAAATAAGATACAGCAGCGTCTCAAAGGTTCCAGGAAGTATGTAACATGGCAGCTTTTCAGAAAATCCCCAGGGATTTTTAGAAAACGGTTTGTTTTTGAAACGGCTTTGTGGATATTCAGATATTTAGGCCCTTAAGGATGAGTTAGAAGAACATGACCAATCCAAACTTTAATGCACCAACCTTATTAAAACATCTTTATTTCCTCCATCTCCTGTATCTATCCCAATTCAACCAAGTAGGAAAGGATCAACTTTTTGCATTACTCCTTATATTTTTGGTTTGCCTAATGCATCAGGGCCCCTGTCACTCTCGTGGCTTAGAAGAAGCACTAATGACTGCTCTAGCTGACTGTCTCAACAAAGAGAGGCAGTTATGGAATAAGAGATTCTGAATCAAAGGACCTGCTACAAACTCCAGCTGCCTGGGTACAATGGACACATCCCTTCTCCTCTCTTGGTTTCTTCTTCTGTGCAGGGTTGAATTTTTTTTTGGGGGGGGTGTCAGATTAGTGATTTTATTGATACAGGGAACTCCCTGTGAACAATCTCCTTCAAACAATGCAGGTACTGGCTCTGCAATTTATAGTCTTAGAGAACGGCTGGGGATGCTGAGGTTAAATCATCTGCCTAGATTCAGTCAGAGGCTAAGCTATTTTTTAAGCCTCCTTTGAGTTCTAAATCCTATGATCCTATATTAGCACACATATCATGCTTTACAAACCACTCTTTTTATAGTAACACTGGGAGGTATGTGAGCAGCAAGGCACATTGGAAATGATGGTAGATTTGGAATCACAAGACCTGAGTTCAAATGCTGACTGCCATTTATTACCTATGAGAATCAACAAGCATTTATTAATTGCCTCCTATGTACCAAGAGATAGGAATAAAAAAAAAACAACATAAAAACAGTTCCCTGATCCCAAGGAGCTCATATTTTAATGAAAAGAAAACCCGGATGGATCCTTTCAAATAACTTAACTTCTGGATCTCAATTTTTTTAACTTTAAAACATAGAAGTTGGATGAAATGACCCTTCTAGCTCTAAAGCTATGATGTTCTTTACAGATGTGGAAACTGAGGCTCAGAGAGAAAGGAACATGCCTATGGTTACACAATTTTTTAGTGGCAAATGCTCAAACTCAAAACCAAATCTTTTGACTCCAACTCTAATGCTCATTCAATTCACTTCGTTTCCCATTACCAAATATCAAGACCTACTGTGTGCCAGCCCCTGGATAGATACACAGTTTAAGTACATAATGAGATTCTGTCCACATGGTATTTAGCAGGGTAGTAAGCCACACAGATAAATATAATATATATTACATGAGAAATGCATTAGAGTAGTGAAAATAAAGTACTATATAAGGTCTGAGGAAGAAAAGCTTGCTGTGGCAAAAAAAATGGGGGAAACATAATATATTTTTGTTTTATGAAATGATAATTTAACTATCTTCCAGCTAACAGCCATACCCCAGGGGGGTATGATAGGAAGAAATCAGATTTTGCACAAAGTAGAGGATTTTTTGCCAATTTAGAAAACCACTCCAATTCAGCAGGAGAATGCTGGCTGCTCTCTAGGAAGAATACCTGCAGTAGATAAAATGCACTAGACACCCTCTTCTCTCCTACTCTCTGCTCCCTACACAAGACACATCACAACAAAGCACTCCCCACTATGGCCATCCATGTCAATTACAGTTGTTTAACTGAGAATCATGGAGCCATCATTTGATTTTGGGTAAGCTTCAGGAGACAGCAGGAGCAGGGCTCTTTCATCTGCCTGATGTGGCACAAAAGACTCCTCTTTCTTTCGTGGCAGTTAGAATCAGGCTTACTTACTAGGTTGGGCAAGAGGGGCAGGGGGCATGCAGAATTAATCAGAACAAGTCTTTCACTGAGCCACAGCCCTGTGGCAGAGGACTGGCCCGAAATGCCACCTTTCTCATGTGAAAGAAAACCCACGGAGGCCAAAGGGATCCACACTGACGAAAACAGCCTAATAAATCATAATAGTGATGACAATCCAAATTTTCCATAGCATTTTAAAGTCGTGGTACTTCACTTACAAAAAAACTGAAGGCAGGTAAATGAAGGCATTATTTCCCTCATTTGACAGGACTATGAGGCTCAGAGGGGTTAAGTAATTTGTCCATGGTCACACAGCTAGTAACTGTTAGGAGCCCAGATTGAACCAAGGTCTTCTGTCTTCCAAAGGCCAATGCTCATCCTATTATGCTCTTCTCCCCATTGACTGCTATTAACAAACCTTTCAGAATGGAAATACTGGGGGCAAAGAAGTTACATCCCATTGGAGTACACACCCCCCAAAAAAAACCAAAAACAAAGAGAGTCCAGGCTCACAAACACACAAAGCAAAATATGCGCTGGATTAGGTTTAGAAGATGAATAATGAAACATGAAAAGGAAACATCCTCTCCCCCCCAACCCACCCTGCAGGAAAAGGCGAGGCATTCATTTAACCCTCACTTCCAGCTCACCAACTAAAAAAACATGAGCCTGACACTGATATTCGAAAGGAAACAAGGGACTGCCTGGTTTGACTAGAAAGAGTCCTCTCAGCAGCTCTGTGTACTCACAGCACATGTGGCCATGTGCAATGCAAAGAGGCTGGGTCTTTATCCTAGTGCACTGATTTTATTTAAAAATAAAAACAAAAAAAAAAGTATCCCTCTCCCCCCCAAAATTAAAAACCACCCACAGGTTTGGAGGCTTGGCGATCCGCAAGGCAGTTAAATTCCAGGGAGATACACACAAACACACATACAAACACACAGAGCATTTGCTCTCCTTTGTTTAGGAGAGGAAACCAGGAGGTGTGACCTGCATGACAAGTAACTTACGACTCCCAGGCACTGTCCTTTCTATCCTGGCAATGAAGGCAACTTGCACAGCCCTCGGTCATCTGCTTCTTGGAGGAGATGCCTTGACCAGCTCTCAGCCTCTCCTTACACCTGCAGGCTGCCAGGTCTCCTTCAAAGCTAGCCCCAATTCCTGACAGTCTCTTCAATGCCTCCACGGCTTTCTGACTTTTAAGGGTCCAGCCTTCCATCTCTCCACCTGATTCCCAACGTTTTCTCCGTCCCAGAACAAATTCTCTGTTCAGCCGGCTCTTTCCAAATCGCCTCTCACTGGAGACTTCCTTCCTCTATTTCCTGGCATCCACGGCTTCTTTTCTCAAGTAAGCATTTCTTGCTCTCTTACCTCCCTCTTCTCTTCTTCCATTCTTGCCAATGCTGCCCCCCAAAGTGCATGACCACATCTGCTCCCTTATTTCCCTAAGGAATGTGGGGCTTTTCTGCAGAAGCCATCTCACAAGGGTTTTGACTTCAATGTGATTGTTTTTCTCCATCCCCCACCCCCACCCCAGCTCTCTCACCTCCCAGATTATAGATGAAGAAAGAGGAAGCTAAATCCATTGGTGGGGTGCTAGATGGCAGACTGAGAGGAGGTAACAGCAGAGAAGGGATAAAGAAAGCATGAAGCAAATCAAGGAAAAGGAGGCAACCCTCAGACCAACCTGGTGAGGAATAAACAGAGACAGGGTGGACCCTATTTATGAGCCAAAGTATCATTTGGCTCCTGAGACACACAGTGATAGACTTCAGCAGTAGCAGCTACAGCTCTAAGCCAAACGAACACGTTCTCACATGTACTCAATGCAGGCTGAGCTTTTTGTCATTTACTGATTCTTTGAGACACACCCACATCTGTTGGTAGTAACACCTTTAAATAAAAGGGACAGCACTCTATTCACACACTGGGTAGTATCAATACACAACCATTCAACAAACATGAAGTACCTACCGTATGCCAGCCAGGAGCTGAAGAAAACAAAAAAAGAAAGAAAGGGATTTTTTTTTTTGAAAATCCAGAATTACAGATTGTTAGGTCTAGAAGAGAATTTAGAGGTCGTTTGGTCCAATACCTTCATTCTGTAGATATGGAATCTGAGGCTTAGAGAGTTAACTGTACAAGATCACACAGTTAATCAGTGGTTGAACTCAGCCATAAGCCTTCAAGGCTTGGTTCAAGCCCTATCTCCCTCCAGGAAGTCTTCTCTCACCATCTCCCAGCGCACAACCACTGAGCTTTCCTTTTTCTAAAGCTCTGACTATCCATATGGACCATTTGACATAGATTAATATACCCTGCAATGTCTTTTTTTTTTAACTTTGCATGCCATTACATCTCTAACTAGACTTGTGAGCTCCATAATAGTAAAGGGTTATACCTTATATTTCTCCATATCCCCTTTAGTGTGAATATGGCAAGGTCCTGTATACATTAAGTGCTTCATAAATAAATATCTATGGAACGAATAGATCTGGCAAAGAGATATACAAGAAACCTACCCAGTGAAGCAGCTGCTGTTCCCAAACAGCTGGAGAAAAAACTCTAACTCCCGCCAATGCCCTTCTGAAAAAGTTGAAGTGACAGGGATTCAGGGTGGGGATGCTCCAAACTCTATAACCACCAAAGGCAAGGTGACCTTCATCACGAGACTGCCTACTTCCTCAAAGTCACTTGATATATAGTAACGATCTGCATTAAATTCAGCAGTGAGTAAAAATGGAATTTGAGCTGAAAGAAGCCTAATCCACTTATTTTATGAATGGTGAAACTGAGGCTCAGAGAGGAAATTACTTTTCCATTGTTACACAGCAAATGACTTAGCTGAGGTAGCATTAAAACACAGTTTCTCTTTGACTCACAAGCTGAGCACAGTTTCCACTACAGCATAAAGCCTCTTGTAATATTTCTGAATGATTTAGTTCCTATACAATTCCCATGTTGTCTCCCTAATTAGACTGTGAGTTTCTTGAGAATGGGCACAATTTTGTGCTTTTCTTTGTAGCTTCAGTGCTTAGCACAGTTCAGGCACTATGCAGGCAGGCACACAGTAGGCGCTTAATAAATGCCTGTTTATAGTCACTTTTTTTTTTTCGGCTAGGTAGTTGGGATTAAGTGACTTGCCCAGAGTCACATAGGTAGTATCAAGTATCTGAGGCTGGATTTGAACTCAGGTCCTCCTAATTCCAGGATGGTGCTCTATTCATTGCACCACCTAGCTGCCCCCTTAATAAATGCCTGTTGACTTGTAATAATAAAGTCAAAAGCTGTAGAAGTGAGAGAGATCCTAATGATTATCTAGGCCAGGGGTCTGGTGAAGTCTGGAGATACCTCAAAATAATGTTTATTACCTACATTCATAATTGCTGTTTGCTCAGTCGTTTCAGTTGTGTCTGACTCTTCATGACCCCATTTGGGGTTTTCTTGGCAAAGATACTCAAGTAGTTTCCTATTTCCTTCTCCAGCTCATTTTACAGATGAGGAAACTGAGGCAAACAGGATTAAGTGACTTGCCCAGGGTCACACAGCTAGTAAGTGTCTGAGGCCAGATTTGAACTCAGGAAAAGAATCTTCCTGACTCCAGCTCTGGCACTCTAATCACTGCACCACTGAGCTGCCCTATTTATAACTGGAAGAAATGCTAAATTTCAGTAAGAGGTTAGTTAGAGAGAGAGAGAAAGAGAAAGAAAGAGAGAGAGAGAGAGAGAGAGAGAGAGAGAGAGAGAGAGAGAGAGAGAGA